CTTTGTCATACCACAATCATTCAATGCGGTGAACCTCTCGATAGGCGATTTGCCTTTGGGTCATCCTAATAAGGTTATTATTATGTAGTTTTCCTCCTGCTTCAGCGTTCCAGTTTTGGATGCTTGATGGCAACCCAGAGTGGCCCCTGGCCGATACAGCTAGTACTATAATGTGAATCCAGCCCGGTTCATCGAGTGCACCCCAAGCCCCAAACGAACCCCCAGGCCTTTTGTGTACTCATCCATTAAGCTCTAGACTGTTCCGGGAGTTCGCGCAATTTGAGGCACTAGAAACCTACTTTCCGCCTGAGTGTGTTCCCATAGCCACTGTCTTTTTGACCAATTTATACTTGATAAATGTTCAGGTCCTGATTTGCGAGCCTTCTGCACCATAGAATCGATATTGCAAATGCAAAGCTGCGACGAGAGATCCCCAAAAGGAATTTCTGCTCACTTCAAGCTGACATTGGCAAATTGCGATCGATACCAATATGAGGGCGAGCAGCCGCTTTAGGCAGTGGGTTCCAAAACTCACCCCTACCCTGGATCCCAAAGCGGTGTGGCGGTGACCCGTCACCCGATTTACTACTCGAACCGAACGCCGTCTGTTTATAATAGTCTTTTTAGGATTACCCAAAGGCTAATGGGGATCTCCAATTTGTGTATGTACAATGAGCATTGTAGCTCGGAAAAGAGAAAGTATGAAAAGTGAGTTCGGAAAGGTAGATGCTGTGCAAAAGACACAGTAAAAGAACAGGAATAGAAGAGTAAATCAATGGTCGCACATCACAAGGATACATACCAGTGCAGTCGAATTGATACCTATTATTATTATTATAATGCATTCCCGCGGCAGCGTCAACAGTGCAAGTGCAAGTCACCCACGCACAAACACAGTCCACACGTTCGCTTATGCTGGACATGGTAAGAGAAGCAGTTTATATAGGAGGCATAAAGACAACAAGCACAACCGTAGCTGTAAATCCGTTGTGTATAGAATGTTTAAAGTGTATTGAGCGATATTTCCGTGATCTGGGAAAAAGGTGACGGCGCGGTTTCATCGCCGAAACCTCTACTCGCAGGTCATATCCAGTAGCTGCCTCCATTCGCTTCGAACTGCAGCTACGTCTGATAGGTGCTCCAGATCTTCCAGGCTCTGCAATCGCCCACAGGTGGAGAGGCCGCCCTCGCATCACCCTGCCGGTGAAGCTCGACGACGACCTCAACCGAGCTTCGTACTGATACTTTGCATTGTAAAATATGTAAATGACGCTTTTTTTCTTTTTTTTACTGAATACCACAGTACCATCAGATGCTGCACAGCGGGGGCGGTGGCATATTGGATGGAAGTGGGGGCGGGGCAAAAGTAACTCCTCCGACCAAAGGTCTTGGAATCATCGTTACTCCTGTGCGCCGATACATAGGAGAAAAGAAACATGTGCATCCAAGAGGGGAGCACCGGCTTTGCAAACGATAATGGGGAGAATTTGAGATTGGGATAGGACAAAACAATAGTAAAAGCAGTGCACCGTAGGAAGATGGAGTGAACTGATAATCGGATTTTAAGGCTGAGCGAAGGGGATCAAAGAGGGGTAGAAGGGAGCTGGAGTGCGGTCAGTATAATTAGGCTGGTGTGTTGGCAGAGATCATAGCCTGTCTGTGGCCCACTCCCACTTGCTGCGCGGCAAGTGGTCGTTGACGTTTTTCTTGAACATGTCCATACCTAAAATAGCAATGAAAAATATCAATTGTGCACTCATAACCATGTATAAACAATTAAAATGAAACAATTCCAGAACGCTTTCGTGTGACCATCATCAGTGGAACATCGTCACATAGTAAGAATCACTAAAACAACCAGTTATATAGCTAGAGTAATATGAAAAGAAGCGTGAGAATGCAGCACAGCTAGCGGTTATGCATAACGCGTGTAGTGTGAACCTTTGCAGTGTATCTGAGAATGGTAGCAGTAGTAGATACACTGCAAAGGTTCACACTACACGCGTTATGCATAACCGCTAGCTGTGCTGCATTCTCACGCTTCTTTTCATATTACTCTAGCTATATAGCTGGTTGTTTTAGTGATTCTTACTATGTGACGATGTTCCACTGATGATGGTCACACGAAAACGTTCTGGAATTGTTTCATTTTAATTGTTTATACATGGTTATGAGTGCACAATTGATATTTTTCATTGCTATTTTACGACTGTTGTCTCCTCGTCGGTTATTTAAATGTCCATACCTCTGCGAGAAGGGGGAGACTGCAGAAGGGTAGGTGGGAGCTGATTCCACGTGGCGATGAGGGAGTGGGGAAATGAGCGGAGCGTGTTTTTTCGTGCCTGGGGAGGAAGAATACTGGTGAGTTGCGATGGATGATGTGTTGCAGATCTGGTTGTCTCACGAGTAGACATGCGGCATTGCGGTGCGGCTGCTGATGGTGGCAGAATGGCTTTCACCACGTCCGGACCCTCCACAAAGTGCAGCTTGTACAGAAAGCAGAGCCCTGCTACGGTACGGCGAATGTCGAGGCTCGGGAGGTATGATCCATCCCCAATTATGTGCAGGGCACGGCGCTGGATGGCAGTGAGGCGGGCCAAGGTGGTGGGGGCTGCGCTCATCCACACCAGCAAGCCATACTCTAATACAGGGCGGACAAAGCCACGGTACACGATTGCCCGGTGCTTTGGGTCAAGCACAGCCGATGCCTTACGGAGGAAGCCGAGCCGCTGGGCTCCGCGTACTTGCAAGCTGTCGGATATGGCTGCGGAATGCCAGCTGCCTGTCGAAGGTGACGCCAAGAAGCTTGAGCTCCTCTACTTCTGGCACGACTGCTCCTTGGAAGCGTATTGCGTTCGGGGGGGGGGGGGGTTGGCGAGCGGTGGTGGCTGATGGTCAATGCCTGCGACTTTGTGGGCTAGAACTTGATCCTCCACCTGCTTCCCCATACTGCCAGTGAGTCTACTGCCTGCTGGAGGATTGCTGTCTCTTCTGGCAGTCTGAGTCGGGTGGTGATGCACTTGTAGAGAGTTGTGTGGTCGGCGTATACAGCCAGCTTCGCCCCATCAGGCAGGTGGTCTTCTGCGTCGTTGACGTACAGAAGGAAGAGGATGGGGCCGAGGATGCTGCCCTGTGGCACGCAAGATTGGATTCGGTGGGTCGGTGAAGACTGGCCACCTATGACGACACGGATGGGGCGGTCTGTCAGGTAACTCCGGAGCCAGGCAAGGAGGAGGCCACTTATGCCGCACCGCTCAGCCTTGTGGAGGACGCCGTTGTGCGAGACCTTGTCGAAGGCCCCGGCAATATCTACTGCGAGTACCCTGACGAGGCCTCCACTGGCAGCTGCAAGGCTCCACTCATGCTGAAGAGCAATCAGCAGATCAGAGGTTCCCAGTCCAGTGCGAAAGCCAAACTGCCTGTGAGAATGGATGTCATTCTTCTTCAGGAAGTTGGACAGGCTGCGGTTCACGATGGACTCCATACACTTAGACATCATGGGCAGCTTGAAGTCGGTTAGGGAAGTAGTCATTGGGGGTGGGAGACAGTTGCAAAGTGCACTAGTTTTCCGCAAAAAGTGATGAAAAAATTAGGCCTACGGGCACTACGTGAGATGTTAATCGGAAAGCGAGGGAAATGTATTGTCTGAATGGAAATCGATGTAATAAAACAACCAAAGAAATGAAGACATACCGCGAAATTGCAGGGGTTCAAGTGACACAGTGGATGTATTCAAATTCGATTATGATTCATAGTTGTAATTAAAATGAGACCTAGTTACATGAGACCTTCATGTACTTAGTAGGGTTTATCGGGTGTTAGCCGCCGTCGTGAGTTCCCTTCGGGACCGGACGCGATAATTTACTGTATTTTAATTTTTACATGTAGTTAGATATTGTTGTCCGGTTTGTACAATTTATTTTCACAAAGCTTCCCTCTGTCTTTATCTCTGATATTGCTGACCCACCCAAGTTGGGTGGTTTGTTGCTTTGCAGCTTCGAATGGTAGTTAGACCGCATTGTCATGTTAATAAAATTAATGGTCCCGTCATGGTCATATCTCAGTAACATGTCAGATTTGTGCCCTGTTATCGCACTTTCTGAATGCTTGTTGTCTTGTTACAGTCGTGGATAATTGCTTCATAACTCGTTTCCATGTGATTTCTTCTATTTTAATTATATTTATTGGCTCCGTATCCGAGTTGAATTCATAGTTGTCAAGTCTATTTTCGCAGACCACAGGAGTCGCCGGCAAAACGTAGCCTAGAGTACATAACTGAGCAGATTTGATCCTATAAAGTGAACAGATAGGAATGGCATACTCGCTGGACGTACAGTACTTCAAGTGCACAAGACGTATACAGGAAGGCAATGTGTGTGGGTGGTAAGTGTCGGCCCATGAAGAATAATATAAATAAAACGTTGCTGAAACTTCCTGAAGATAGTGTGAAAGTGGCCGATGAACTAACTTCAAACCATCACTGAGCTCTACCCCGAGATGTTTAGCAGAGCGCCTAGATCCTATTGGAACGTTGTCCATGGACACACAGAGCGGGATTCAGGAATGTCGTAATTGAATAAAATGAATGTATTTTCAGAAGAGCATTGTCCATGTTTTTGGCTGGGGAAAGTTATGTTTCTCTTCTCTTCCTTCTCGTGAGGAAGAGCTTAGTATTTTATTGAAGGGACTCTGGGTAATGAGCGACGAGATTTTAAAATGGCAAGACGTCCGACGGACCGGGAGCGGCACCCGCCGGCCCAGTCGTCGAAGCGAGGAACAGCTCAGACAGTCGGCTCAAGAAAATTCAACAAATATTCTTCAAACCTCTACATTGTCATCTTCAACGTCCTCAGCCTGAAGTCGTCACTGAAGATAATTACTGTGACAAGAGACTTGGCGAGGTAAATTGCACATCAATCTCCTATATCCGTCCGGAACCGGTAGCTCTTGGCGCGTAACACTCGAAAAAAAGGCTGTAACATTTGCAGAACAGTATTAACCTTATTGCAACCACTTCTGAGAATTATGCTCCATTTCTTTATCAACGAACCAAAACATGGATAAAACATACCAGAAAAAGACCCAGGTTCTGCCATTTTTCCCCAGTATTGAATGATATTACTGTGTCATTGATTTCCAACAATAGGGGGAGGTTGTCATTGAGTTCCTAAAGTCGTCTGACCAGCACTGTACTTACATCGGTTCTACTGAGGGGTAAAGAAAGAGGATAAAATTGAAAAGAAGGATTAGATAAATTGCTTAATTGAAGAAGAGGAAAAGAGTTGAGAAAAGGAGGTGTTCGTCTATGGTGATACCACGAGCACACGGAATAAGAGAGCCAAGCCACTTGTAGGATATAAACTGCCTGCAATCTAGTTCTTGGTACTACCGCTGGCAACCGAATGATGGTTCTAGCATAACTGATGTGTTTAATTGGGCTATGATGTATGATGCATTCAAGGAGTATGAATCCATTGAATGTGAATATTGTTGAGAATATACTCTGTGTCTATTTGAGGATCGTTGGCTACCGCAGCTGCTACCGAAAATGGCTGAGATTTGCTTTCACATGCACAGCACAAAATGGGTCAGGCCCCTATATTGTACATTTAACACTTATAATGTACTGAAAGTAACTTCAAAATGTTTGTTGTCCACATCAATTCGATTCTGCAACAAACCAATTCACATGTACAAAGTATATATACACACTACTTAAACTGGGCACTTAGTTATTTGATCACGCGAAGCGGCAGAGAAATGCTGACTTGTAAGCCCAGCACTGATCGTCATTCCAGTTACCTGTGGAGCTCGCCCGGCTGCTCGGCAAAAGCTCCAAGCAGTCTTCAGTACCCGAATAATTGTCGGGCTGGCTGCTCGCCCAATGGTTGAACGACAACACTGCCCCGGCCACATCCCTCCAAACTCCTTCAGTTCTGGAGTCGCTGGCGCCCATCCATAGCGTACCAGACGGATACAATGCTCGTACAAGACACACCTCGCTCGTATTGCGAGGAACAGCAAGATGGCCACCAAGCTTTGAGCACTCGAACATTGCTTGGTGCCAGGTTGATAGTTTCCGAATCACCTTGAAGCCGAACGGCAAACGTGCGCTCTGAGCTGCTGAAGTGATGTTTTGCTGTAGGGTATGAAAGCGCGTGGTTATGGTAGAAATAACCTCGTTTAACTTCCTCTGAAGTGAATTGAATCGAGTATCGAGCTCTCCGGCAGTTAAAAGTTGATTTTGGCATTGAGCACCTCCATACCCCCTGTGACAATCGCACACGTACCCGCTCTCCAACTGCCGACACCTACCGGAATGAGCACACGGATTAGGCAAGCAGTACTGCTTCGCCCGTTGGCAGTGCTGTCCTGTGAATCGTTCAGGGCAAATGCATGCAAAGTATGGTGCTCGGAGCAGGCGATGGCAAGTTCCCCCATTCTCACAACGGGGCATTGATCCGTTACTGTACGGCGTCGAACAGGCATCCATCGTACACGATAGACCCGAATAGCCAGGGTTGCACTGGCATTTGTAAGCTTTCGTCTTGCCGCTGCTCGTATCTACAAGTCGGCAGTGCCCGTGACCTCCACAGGGTACGTATGATATACACGCTGTGTCTTCGGATCGGGAGAAGCACTTTGTCAGCCGCTCTATATCATTTGTCTTCCTTATCCCCATCAGCGGCAGCAGAGAGCGATGCGTGTTGGATACAGCGTCTGCATCGACAGCTCTGGCGGCAAAAACACCTTCATAATACTTCGCATAGTGTTGGGTAAACCCTGCAGCCTCGAAGTACCTTGCGATGCAGCCGCCACTGCTTGAGGAAGCAGAAGTAGGATACGTGCAGCAAGCCAAGAGAACGACAAACAGAGCGGATGAGAGTCGCATTGTGGCAGTGGTAGAGTATTTCCAAACTAAAATGGCATTGACCACTTATATTGTGCAAGGGAACCAGAACGCGGTTCTGAGCTCTGCCTGTGAGGGCCGCAATGCTGCTGACGGTGTGAACCGCGCTGGCGCCACGCATGATCCCGACTCAATCGTTTTAGCAATGGGTTCTTTACTAGGCACGCATTGCGAGCCCCAGCACTCCTGGTATGATTTACAGCAGTACAACCTGAGAAGTATGACTCATTGGTATTTTTGGAAGCCAAGACTCCCAAGAGCCTGTGCTTGCTACATCCATACCTGCTAACCTTCTCGATTTGGTTGGGACCGTGCCGATATCCACGTGGGAGTAGACCTACAGGCGTCCCGCCCGACAACGTGGCCTGACGGTGTGCTATGCTGCCGCCTTTTGCAGGGTAGTGCAAGGCACCCAAAACTACTTTGAAGTACATTTTGATTTGTTGCATGCCACACGGCTACATTGCATACATTTTCTGTCATTTTCCCGATCTCAGGTTTGCAAAGGTATTTATATCATGGATCTTCTTAGAACAACAACAAACAAGGATAGTCAGTCGCTACTATCATGCTTCCGCAATTATGAGGCATTGATCGTCTACTGTAGCGACTTCAAAGCCGTTGTCCGAAATGAAGGTGAAACAAGAAAAATTTCTACTCTAGGGCACAACAAACAGAGATGGGCTAGTTTTGGGAGTTGAGGATCAGTTCAAGAGGCCCATATGATCAATACCCTTAGCGCTCTACAGTTACTTCTGGTAAGAAACATCTTTACCATTCATATCACAAGACTAGTTGATATGTATAGGATATTGACCAAGATGAGGGGTTGCTTGAGATTCATACTGTTGTGGGTTCAAATCCCGCTTGTTCTCTTCCTTTGTCTTCTTTCTTTCAATTTTCTTTTTGAAGTGGAGAGAAAATTTCTAAGTCCCTCCAAAGCCGAAAGATTACAATGCCTATTATATAAAGTGGTCGATACAAGCGGTCGATATTGTTGCGATATGGGTAATATAGGACCAGTCAAGGATCACGAGAATTAGTGGAGGTCGATATAGAAGAGTGATAAACATGAACATAATTGTAACGTACTGAGTCTTTGGTTTTTCTATTGTATATTCAGTCATTGGCAAGGTTACGGAGAAGCTAAAAAAGACTCAGTTGGGTGGTCCATACTTCACTTTGTTCATTTCACCTCAAAGCAGAGAGTTTGGCAAACAGAAATGTATGTAGAGGAGGGGTAAGGGCCCCCGCCCGCATACCTAGACATCGGTTTCTACTTTGATTTTGCATGCATCTATAAATGAGGGAATTGGTTCGTCACAGTTGGCTTCCTGGTTGCCTGTAGGGTCAGTATCGCGACGTGGATCCCAAGCGGCAGGCACGTCTTCATGGTCCAGAGGGATGGATTGGCAGGTGTCTTTCAGAGCTTTGAGCTTCGATACATACGCTCTCCACGCCACGCATTCCCTCAGTCCAGCAGCAAACAAACAAATGGTGACGACGAATCCGATAATACTCCAGAACGGCGCCTTAGGTGATATAAGGACCCACAGCACAGCAACAAGTGAGGCGGATACAAGAAACATGAATCCGGCGCATGTCATCAACTGGCAAGTTTGCTTTCTATGATCCCGAATGGCATTCTCCATTGTTTGGTGAAGCTTAGCTATTCTGTGCCGGAAACCTTCAATTGCAAGGAAAAGAAAAGGGAGAAAAAACAGGACATAGTTTATCCATGTGGGTGTGTGCGTGTGGGTGTTTACTAGGCTTTCCCAAATCGGCGTGCCGAAAAATGGGCCGAAAACAGTTGCTTTGAAGAAATCACCGATCTTGTCGCCGAATACGCAAGTCTCGAACTTAATTCGCCGAGAATCGATGTTTTAGTGCCTCAACAGCATTCAAATGACAAAATCAGTTTTGCCTCTTAAAAAAACCCGCTGGAATTCACTCCCTGCTTCTGTTCGTATTTCCTCCACGCTATCAGACTTCCCCTCAGCCATACAAAAACATTATACGGTACCCCGTGAGTAGGCCTTAGGCCTGTGGGAATGCCCTATTCAAAAATAATGAAAAAACAATTTCTGTAACCGTCATCCGCCAAAGATAACTGCGACTTGAGGCACTTCCGAAAATGGTCAGCAGGAAAAGACACCGAAATCAATGGCTCCATGTCAAGAAATCGGCGATAATTGCACCGAATTTACAAATTTGGCGCTGAATTCACCGGAAATGGATGTTCTAGAGGCTCTACAGTCTGCGTGTAAACGTACATTTTCATTCACATCTACATGTACATGTACATGTAGATGTAGTGACGTTTACATTTTCATTCACATCTACATGTACATGTACATGTAGTGACGTTTACTGAGAGAGGCGACTGCGAGTACCGCTTTCAGCCGCATTCTGACTTTGGGGCTCATAATATGACCGAATTTGGACATTTTCTTAGCCGATCAAAAAGCAGACTAGGCGAAAAAATCGGGCCGTTTGGGAAATGCCTAGTTTTTACATGTACATGTACGTGTGCGCGCGTGTGTGTTTGTGTGTGCGTTGGATGTACATGTACATGTACATGTACATGTACATGTACATCGTGCGTGTCTGTATGTGTGAGTTTATGGAGGTGTGCGTGCCCATGGGTGCATGTGTGCTTTAAAAAAATTAAATAATTAAAAATAGGAACTCATTGGCCAGGGAAAGCCGCTTCACCTAGCCGTGTGGTGTAGACCAGGAGATCAAATAATTTTATCAGCCTTGCAAGCGGTTGACTGGCGTAATCCCATCACACGTTGCTATGTCTAACATGGCTTGTTTGCTATCATCGCTTCAGGCGTATGACTATGAGTACGGATGATCTGTGTGTATACTGTATACTGAAGTATATGAGCTGCCCTCGCCTAGCGATATTTCAGAACATGCTTGCTTGCTGTGGTGAATCCGATTGGCCATCTGGAGTATTGTAAAAAAATATAAAAAAGCCATTAGAAGCGTTGTTGACAGGCCGAGAATCTGCCCTATCCAGCAGAACCGGTACATCTTCATAATAGTAACTGGTGGCGTTGGTGGACATTATAGCGTAACTAGTAGTTCTCTGGTGCTTTTTCTTTTCTATACAATAAATTTTATCCTTCGCTCTCCATCCGAGTCCGTAATATGATTTAAATGCAGTATATTGTTGGTTTGAATAGACCTACCTTCGCCGAGTTTCTCCACAATCGCTGCTGACTGACTTATCCACTTGTACGGGCAAGGCAACCCCTCTTCACTTGACTTCTGTCTACTCGTCAGTTTAGATTACGAACACTACGCATTGCCGAACCAGTGCAACAGTAGCCATTTTACCTTTCTTCTGTGCGTCTCATTGACAGAGGTCTAGCGGGAAATACTGTGCAGGTGGGGACAAGGCGCATAATAATCCTCATAGAGTCTCTCTCAGAGTCTCTACGATCCACCGCCAGCAATCTGGATCCATACGGCCAGAAGGAAGTTAGTTCCTTTGGGAGACCACCTGGAGCCGCTTTGAATGGATATACGTTCAGCTCAGGATGTCCAGATCTTGGAACACTTTGTTTTCAATTATACCGGGCAAGGTACGACTGGCACATCAGACCTACAGGTAGCTTCATCTAGCATGCGGAGTTACAGTCATGACGGGACTGTCGAGGTCAGCTGGCACTAGTATTGCTTTGCCATGATGCTAGGCTTCTGTGCCACGAGGGTCACCTTGTGTGTCTAAAGAACAAAATTCACAAAGCCGAGTAAGCTCCGTCATACTGTGCGCAGCCGAATGCCACCTACATGTACATGCACACGTAACATGGTGTAACAGGATGTATGAGGGGCCAATCCGAGGTCATAGTCCTGACACGATTCTTCAGAGTCTGAAACTCGACCAAGCTGCCTCAGTGAGGACTTGCCTTCGTGTGGTAAAGTTTATTAAGCATGGCCCGTATAGTTCCCGAGCTGACAGTGATCCTGCTGACACCTACTACGAGGCCTGGGCCTGTCCCAAAACCTGTCAAAAATTTGACCTGAGAAGTACAATCATGTACCTTGTCCTTGTAGCAAATCCTCATATTATATAATGAAATCGTCCAGATTACATGTACATGTACATGTACATGTATCTACATCTAAGTCCGTCCATTCTGTAGGCTGTTATCGTAGGGAACCTGTGATATTCACTATCACCTTGGCAAATTCATGTTCAAGACAACGAAATGTTATTTATATTATTCTCGAACCCGTCCCCAATTGGGTTCACGTCGGCATAATTGACTGGGAGCAGGCGTGTATGTGTGTGCGTGTGTGTGTGTGTGTGTGTGTGTGTGTGTGTGTGTGTGTGTGTGTGTGTGTGTGTGTGTGTCTGTGTTCGTGTGTGTGTGAGAGAGAGAGAGGGAGAGTGGGAAAATAAAGTATATACATTGGAGTGGTGCTCCTTTCCACCATCGCGATTTCCTGGTGTGCCCTTGCCCTACCGTCATTGTTGTACGCTTTAGTTCTGCAAGTTGTGTGGAGGACACTAACTTGAATTTCATTCTCGCGAATACTGTAGTAATTTTAGTTACTTTGTCGTAATGTGCGTCAGTACGCGCTCTCGCCTACCTCAAGGGGGGAGGGGGAAGGACCGGGTGCGCAGTGGACGTGTGCTCGCTCTCTACATGAAACAAAACTTACAGACAGACTAGAGGAATCCATCCTTGGGCACCGTCTCATCTGTTTTGCAAAAACCCAACACGGAATCGTAAACGTTCGAAATAGAGACCGCTAGAATGTGAACGCGTCGCTCAGGGGTCGGATTTCAATTGCCAGCACTCTAGAAGAAGTAACAAGACAAGCAATAGTGTATGGTAGATTGGTCTGCTGGGCAATCGCCACAATCTCACACACAACGTGCGCACGGTTGATGATGACGGATGCTTCTTTCAGCCTTTACTGGGGGTGCAGCACCCCGTCGTAAAAGTACGAAATTATAACTGGTGCATTGTCCCCAAATAATATGAACTGGTTCACCTGAAGCGCGAATGACGGGACCCGAACGCACAAGTAGCACGAGGTTCCCACCTCTAGGCCCCGGCGGATAACTCGAGAATTTGATGGATTCTGTTTTTCAATGTGCTCGCATTCTGCTCCAACATAATAATATAATAATGAGTTTGGATCTGCCAGCAGCTGGACCAGCTTTACCCAATAAGCATACCATTAAACAAGCGTGCGCAGAGCGAAAATCCAAAACACTTTCCACTATGCCGCTGCATGGGAGATATTGGATCCGCTTGGAGGAAAATCGCCTCGATAAGGAGCTTACCTTCATGTGGCTGAAATCAAGAACACTGAAACCTTCAACTAAAGGCATGATTATGGCAGCACAAGACCAATCCCTCAAAACGAAAAATTACCAATACGCCATAATGAAGTCCATTGCTCGAACTGATGCCAATTGCAGGCTTTTCAAGGGCAGCTTAGAAACAATTGACCACATTGTCAGTGCCTGCCCAGGTCTTGCTCGGACTAGTTACATCGAACGTCATAACCGGATAGTAAAGTATGTGCACTTCGAAATGTGTAGAGCACGAGATCTACCTGCTGGTGCTTCACGATTCGACCACCAGCTCAAGGCATTGGTCAAAAGTGATCGGTATCGGCTCTATTGGGAGTATTCGGTCCCAACTGACCTGAAACTATCAGCAAACAGGCCTGATCTGCTCATTGTTGATGACAAGGAGCGCATCGCATACATTATAGACATCAGCGTTCCTGGTGAGAACAAAATCAATAAGAATAAGGCTGAAAAGCGCTCGAAATATTATGACTTGAAGCGGGAGATTTCCAGAATTTGGTCCCTCACCCAGGTTGACGTGGTCCCTGTGGTTGCCGGTGCCCTGGGAGGCTTGGTGGGGGAGACTCCTCAATGCCTCCGGACTGTGCAGGGAGGAGACCTGGCTATTGTGCAACAGAAGGCTATCCAAAATTAAAATTTCACGGTTCGCGTGAGACTCGGCTGGAAGCCGGGTTTTCCGCATCCGTAGGAACGCCACCACCCTTCAAGGATCAAGGCGCAGATGCAGTTCCTAAAGCGGTGGGAGGTGAGTAGATCAGCTCACCAGCAAGTGGTCAAAGACCGAAAATCCCATTCACTGCTTCCATGTTTTCCTCGTGCCAGGCCACGAGTTCCCAATTAACTGTGGGTCGCAGCACGGCTAGAAAAAATCCTTCCGCTTCCAAGCAGGACTTGAACCTGGCACCCTCTGTTTCTCAATCATGGTCTTAGACCATCCCACTATGCCTGCCTGCACTATACAAGGCTATCCAAGGTTCGGTTAAAATACTAAGAACTTTCCTTAACATGTAGATGCACATCTGCTGCGTTTTCATGTTCAATAGCCAAGAGACTTGAATAACGACTGATAAAGATATTTCCTTTGTACTCCCCATAACAACATCAACGTCCTTATCATTTGTACAATACCTGTCTTTGCACAATACCTGCCGTTGCAAATTCTTTATTATTGTTTTGATGTTGGAGTTTGGATTGAGTTTCTTTCCTTTCTTCCTCTTCCTTCCCCTATTTCTTGTCCCTTTGGTTTTTGGCTTTTTTATTTTTTTCACTTTCTTTTTGCTGTCCCACCCATGGAAATATTTCCCGGTGGGTCTGGCTTATCGCCTTCGAAAGAAGTGAATAAAGGAGACATAATAATAAAAACAGCTCGCATGTACCCCATGGGTGAGATCACCCGTATGATGTCTACTGAATTGTTCTCCGCAAATATCATCTCTATTCTTTTGAACAGCGCATAAATCTTAAACTCTATGTTTTGGTGTACCGCTGCTTGACCCCACATCTTGCTAGTCCCCTTCTCCAATCCTTGTTCCAGCTTAGGGCTGCTGTGCCTGGACACCAGGCTCGCACGCGCGGCCAGGCACAGCGTGCATTAGTTCTTCCGCCTGTTTCTACGCAATATGGCATGCGTTCTATTTCTTTCCTGGCGGCAGGCAGATGGAACGCTCTTCCCACTGACAGCCGTCAGGCCCCGTCTCTTACTCTTTATGTAAACATGTTAAAAATCCACCCAGGGTTCCTATTAAAAGGCAACGCCTGTTGGGACTCCCCTAGTAAAATAATAAATTCTACTACTACTCTACTACTACATCATACATTAGGCATTTGCGGATAATGCCGGCAGAAAAATCGGCAGAATTCGGTACTTTTTCTGGTAAGTTTCATGCATGTTTGGTATGTGGATAAAGAAATGGAGTAGAATTCGAGGAATTGCCCGCCATAAGGTTTGTATGGTTCTGCCAATTTCACTGCTTTTCGAGCAGAATCTGCCAATGCCTACGACTACAGTGCTGGCAACTGAAATCCGACCCCCTGACGTCTCACGTCTCACGTCGCAAAGAATGTGAACCCACCGCTCAGGGGGTCGGATTTCAGTTTCCAGCACTGTATGTGTCCATGACTGTAAATGTACGTATCGTTGTTCTACGGTACGCGGCATGGCATGTTAGCGCGAGTAAGGGTACACGTAATCTACCAGTAAACCCATATGTCACCAGCCACCACCGCGCCGCGTAGATCTACCGGTCAACGTGCCTGATCGTGCGCGCGATTACTTAGAAAGGAGGTTTGAAGTAGACATACCATCTGCGCCCGAATGCTAAAGTCTTTGGCCCTGACCACTCGTATTCTTCTTCTCCGCCGGCGGCGGCACATAAATCTCGCGTCAGGAGTGACTCAGGACAAGGCTCCCCAAGACTGAAGAGGTCAACGATAACCTCAATGATACACAGCCATGACATAAACTTTGGATTGCGTGAACTATTCCCGGTACCTTGAAAGAGTGCGTGGTTTTTTACCTGTTGAAGTCAGTTCTCGTCGTTCCTTCTCGGAAGCGTTTCGTAGCCTCGATACGAGATCGAGAAGCAGGCTAGGCTAACACGGACAGGATATAGGAGATATTATGCACGCACGCACACAACACTATCAACACGCGCTTAGCGCTTCAGAAGACATAGATCGAACCCCACGCTGGTTGGCGATTGAAACCAGTGAAAGGTGCGGGGGAGGGCATGCCCGGTAGGCCTTCGTCGCCGGCTGAGAGAGGCCCGAAGGCGGGTTGTAGGGGCAAGGTCGCGCGCTTCCCTTCCGTCATATCAATCGCCGCTGGCTTGGTGATGAGCTCAGTCGCGCGGAGTTTACCTCGCCAGCTGTTTCAATATCACATGTTGTCAGAGTACAGTGTCCACAGTTCGTTGTCCTTGCGAAGAAGCTTTTCGTCATGGCGTATTGCCGCAGTTGGAATGTTTTTGTTGTTGTTCTCGCTGCCCTTTGGGTTTCACCCGGTCGAGGACTCGCGGCCAGCGTCAAACCCAACACGAATGGTGGTTCCAGTGGCTCGGTCGTTTTCGTCAGCTCCGTAGAGGAGTGTGAACATCTGAGCGGCGTAGTGGAGAAAGTGCACGTTGTTAGCGAAACCGACGAGCTACTATTTGAATGCAAAACGCCGTCACCGCCACGCAAGACGAGCACGGCAGCACAAGACGCTCCACCTACCACCCTATCCACAGTGCAGCACGGTGTAGCGTTCACAGTGCCACGATTGGCCGAGCGTACGTCGCCTCCCATACCGCCGACAACGACACGCACGGCCACGACTTCCTTCGCGTCCGCTGCGCGAGCATACCAAAGCACAGGGACTAACACCCCCGGCAAAGACAAGTCGCCAAACGCAGGGCAAGTGGGTTGGTCCTCCACCGCTACTATTACTAGCAACAGCAGCAGCATCACCGCCACCAAGGTTGCCGTCTCCAGTACGGTTCAAGCGACACTACCGCCCACAGTGGTCGTCAAAGGAAACCTGTCTGACTTCGGCTCTACGGGCGCGCCGAGTAAGTGGTAGTTTCGTTTTTCTGGCTGTCGCCTGTGTTGACACTTGTCGTCAGTGTCTATGGTTGTTAATGTAGTGGTGTGCACGAGTACCGGTGAGGACCTCGGGTAGACTGGTACAAAATAGTACCAGAAAACCCGAAGTCGCAGATGACATCATGTACAGTGCATGTGTACAAGTTCATGTAATACTCTGCATGTCTACCCCGTGTGTAAGGGAAGTGGTGCATTGTGGTGTTACCGTGGAAACATTACCCAATCAGATACCCGTGCTACCCTTGGAAAACTATCCGAACCTGATGCTAGAAGGAAATGCTACCTGACTCAGGCCTAGGTGTTATCATGGCCATGAATGCACTTTCTATTCTATCGCCATCATAATATTGGGCATCAATGCCCGTTTGGTTCGCGATGTGAAATAAAACTTCAAACAAACAAACAAAAATGCGGGATCCTAGTCCTAGTTTGTATTTGCTGCTGTTCCCGCTAACTAATTCAATGTTGTAGTTACTAAGGGGGGCGTTCGAATTGCCTTCATCAACTTTTCGAACAAATTTTTAAAAGAGATCAGTGGAAGTGTCCCAATACATGTAGAACGGTTTCAATCATTTTAGAGTTTTTCAGGGCAAATGTCATGGCGATAACGACGTCCGACCAGATCGACCATCTCAGATTGACGTAGCTATTCCATACTCTACACATACCTCTACATCTCCCATCGGATGAGGAGTTTCGTTTTCTGAAGAGGCCATAAAAAATAAAATAAAAACCCTCAAAAAGTCAAAGAATGACAATTTGAACTCGCCCTTAGTATAGACTGCTAGTGCTAATTATCAAGTGTACCAGTACTAGCACTACGATCTGGTTCAGTGGTGGTGCAAATAATAATAATAATAATGTCAAACTGATGATCCAGCTAGCAGAACAGATCCTCGATGGCATGAGCAGGTTATGGACCACAGTCACTACTTCATTTTGTGAGTGGTTGGGGCTGAGTTGACCAGCAAAGTAACTCCACCGCATGAGTGGGTGGGCATGAGTGGGTGGGCATGAGTGGGTGGGCATGAGTGGGTGGGCATGAGTGGGTGGGCATGAGTGATGAATTCTAGTACTTGTAGTACAAGCTTGCCTTGCTAGTCAGCCAGGGGTCTGTGGCATTGTCACTGTTTCCCTTATGATGCAATCTGCAGGCTAGGTCAGCAGTAGAGCATGAGACTCTTAAGCGGGATTCATAAAAGCTTTTTTGCGATGCGACATACGATGCGACTGCCGCGAAACCGGGAAACCCCCAAATCGCAGCCATCTCGCACCCCACGCAACTAGGCCATCGCAGAAGTTGAACTTGGCTCAACTTTTGCGATGCGACAAGCGATTTGGTGTACGATTTTGACCATTTCTACAGCAAAGTTGTACAAAGGCTCAAGAGTTGCCTATAAATTTGTACAATTTGTACCAAACCTCGCGAATATCATGGTGACGTACCCAAATCAGCAAGACATTGTCGCATTGCTGACTTATTCTGTGAATGGTATTTCGCGAGTTCGCATCGCACGCATCCGTCGCAGAACACGTCGCATCGCGTGTCGCATCGCAAAAAAAGCTTCTGTGAATCCCGCTTTAGTGGGCGCTCTAATTGTCGTCATCAACTGTTCAAACAACTTTTTAAAGAGATTAGTTGAAGTGTCCCATTAGAACGGTTTCTATCATTAATATTTTTAGAGTTTTTCAGTGGTTTCAGTCATGGCGATCAGATCAACCATCTCCACGTACTACGTGACGTAGCTATTCCAAATTCTTCGGAAGTAATCCACCTCTCCCATCGGAAGAGGTTGTGGAGCTTCGAGGAGCTTCGTTTTTCTGAAGAGGCCAATAAGGCCACGTCTTCAGAAAAACGAAACTCCCCGAAAAGTCAAAGAGTGAGAATTCGAACGCGCCGTACGTCTCAGGGTTGTGGGTTCGAGCCCTGTGTTGGGAGCCAATGTTAAGCACAGGCATAGCAGAATTATTAGAGAGATGATTCGAGATTGAGAGAGAAAAAGATAGAGTTGAAGAGCACGAGGTTATGAAGGGCCTGGGTAGCTATGGCAATGAATGAACGAGAGCGCGAATGTAGCTACCCAGGCCAAACGAAATATGCGGGAATGCGGGAAAGTGAGGGGGAGAGTGCGGGAGCAACAAGCTGTAGGAACAGGAAAGGGTGCCTGCAGTAATGTGTGTATGAGTGCGTGTGTACGTGCATATATGGGATGGAGATCAGTAGTGTGTGAGTGCGTGTGTACATGGAATCGTGAACCTAACAACACCGTAACCTAGCGTAACTTACCTTGTTACCTGTAACATTCTGAGGTTGTCTTCTAACCTTGGTGTGGCTGCTCTGTTCGACGATGCATGCAGAGCAGAAGACGATCTTGGTTGTGACGACGGGGATCTCCAAGACGTGTGGCTGGCTGGTGTTGTTCAGGATGTTGGTGATCAACACGTGCAGGGCATACCCATGCTACACGACTGAGTCCATGGTCAGTGACTGTTGTGTGTGTGTGTGTGTGTGTGTGTGTGTGTGTGTGTGTGTGTGTGTGTGTGTGTGTGTGTGTGTGTGTGTGTGTGTGTGTGTGTGTGTGTGTGTGTGTGTGTGTGTGTGTATGTGTGTATGTGTGTCCCATATGGTGCAGCGATTTCCAAACGAGAGGTTGCGAGTTCGATTCCGATGATTATAGACACACATGGTTCTCGTCTCTTTCTCAGACTTCTCCTACTTTTCTTTCATTCTCCTGGGTGGTTACCAACAGCCAGTGCATGCCGGAGTATGTGGTGTAATGTGTGTGCGGGAAAAATGAATAAAGACCAAAAAGTAGGGATTCACTGGCCAGAAAAAGCCACTTCATAGCTGTGTGGTGTAGACCAGGTTGAATAGTGGTGGTCAATTCTTCAGCCTTGTAAGCTGTTTAATGGTGCAATCTCAGCATTAGTGGCTATGGCTTCTGCCATGGCATCGCTATCATCGCCTCCGGCGATGGGAATCAAATGGTCAATGGTGGTGGTGGTGTGTGTGTGTGCGTGTGCTGGTGGGCGTGTGCTTGCGCGTGCGTGCAAAACTAGGAGTATATGGAACCCGGAGCCAGATCATCGTGTGCGTGTCCGGAACATAACTTCAAGAGGATTTTCGGTCTCTCCCGTGTGGCATTTTGAACTGGGCTCCTTTAGGGGTCGAGTGGACTTCGCAGATGTTTGGTAGATCATCGTGTCCATGTCTGGAACACACCTTGGAGACAATTTTCGTTCTCTTCTATACGGCATTCTGAACTGGACTCCTTTTGTTGAGTGCACTTCGCCGATTTTTGGCTTTGAATTCTGTCCTTGGAAACAACTCATGAACACTGCACTGTTCATGCCCATTTGTCACACTTACTCTTTATCTTAGTTCTCACTTTTTGTAATACTTACCACAAGTTACCCGTCATGTGTCACACTTCTTTGGATTTTTAACCTTTGTTTTTCCCTTGATCACTTTAGTTCCGTATTTCCACTGATGATCGGAGCTTGAAAATCGATTTTGGAAACACACAAAACCAAACCTTGAACAAATTGTCATGTTGCGTGGTGATGTCTGCGGCATTCATACTTTTCATAGCTATTATTCAACTTTTATCTCCACGTAGATTATTTTGTAATAGCAATAAAAAGAACAAATTCTGCAGTCATCGCCACACTACAACGAAGTCATGAAAGTTTACCAGAATTAATTTTCTTGTCACATTCATCAGTGGAAAGTCTGATGAATGTGACAAGAAAATTAATTCTGGTAAACTTTCATGACTTCGTTGTAGTGTGGCGATGACTGCAGAATTTGTTCTTTTTATTGCTATTATAAAATTGTTGTCTCCACGTCGATTATTTGTAGATTATTTGATTCATTTTAGATAAATATTTCCTGTACCGAAGTTTTCTAATTCTCCGCAAACTCCAATGTAGCCACGTTCACATTTAGGAAACGTCACTTCTCAACTCCAGACTCCAGAAGTGGGAGAAGTAAAGTTTCCAAAATATACCAAAGTCGGCGAAAATGAAATAAATCTCCACCGAAATTTTCCGGTTATACAGTATATGCGGTGCCCATGCTTTCCCCTGTCCTTCAGGTCACCCATTTCACAGGAAACCTCTTGAAGTCCCTCAGCCTGGCACTGAGCAGTGATGCGAAGGCTGCTGCCACATCACAGTGCTACGGCAGGCAGATCTACTGTGCTGCACTCTGGCACTTTCTCTCTTTCTGGTGCAAGCGCTCCAAGCTGCTGGGAGAAAAGGCGTTCACCAGTGGTCGCTCTGGACGCAGTGCTGTAGAAGGTAAGAGTCCACATTGGAACAGCATGGAACCGGTTACAGCAAGTTTGTTCATGTGTGTGTGGGGGGGGGGGAGTCTATGTGTGTGTGTGTGGTGTGTGCGTGTTTGTGTTCGTGTGTGCGTGTTCGTGTGTGTATGTGTGTGTATGTGTGTGTGTGTGTGTGTGTGTGCATGGTGTGTGTGTGTTTTTAAGCTATCTTCGACATCATTCTTTTTACTCATTCGTTGTTTTCCACCATTCTGTGAGAGCCAGACCCTTAGCAGGTGAGAAAGCATCACGGTCTGGTCGCTAGATGATGTAAATCCACAGAAACCCATTCCTCACCAGACAACACAATGTACGTGTCAAAAAGTAACCTTTTTAGACCAAGAGTGGTATATATGACTAATAAAGATAGAAATTTATACAAAAGAGAAAGACCATGGAACTACAAGTTACGCTATACTGTCCACTAACACCACCAGTTACTAAACAATCAGTTCATGCGATAACATTGCACGACACTGGCCGACGGTACTGAGCTGATTGTTTAGTAGCTGGTGGTGTTAGTGGACAGCATAGCGTAACTTGTAGTTCCTTGGTGTTTCTCTTTTGTATAAATTAAACCTTGGCTCTCCATCTGAGTCCATTCCTGCACAAAAGATAGAAATATTTACGATACTTTTCCAGGCGTTTCGTTGTTCGGCACAACATCTGCACAACATCGTCAGTGGATAAAGAATGATACCGGTACCGGTATGTGTACATAAGGAGAGATGCATAGAAGTGCTGAACCCCCCTCTTCCCGTTTCTTGTCTTACACAAACGTGCAGATGATTCTGGCATACAGGATGAACTGAGCTATGCTCTGCGTCATGCGGAGTTCTGGCCTGGAGTAGGAGACAACACAACATTCACGCGGGCCGTGAGAGAGGTGGTGGCCGATTTGGAGGCTGAGGCCAACGGGCAGCCAGCGAAGACAACCGTGCCACTTCACATCTTCCAGCAGCTGGTCGAAGAGCCTTACGCCGGCAGTAGCGCGGAGAGCGGTCGGTACCCCAGGTCGTCTCGGAATCCACTGACGGCCGACGACCACCGCAGGCTGTGGATAGTGACACAGGCGCTCTGCTGCAACTCTCCATACTGCTCAGCTCTGCAGCTTCGAACTCGGTACTGCGCCGTGCAACGGAGAGCTCTGAAAGTCTTGCGTAGCTTGAGGATATAGCGTGAGTGATGCTAGTTTGGTATGTGTTATTGTATCCTTCCGCTTCCGTGCTGCAACCCACAGTTAATTAGGAACTCGTGGCCTGGCATGAGTAAAACATGGATGTGGCAAATGGGATTTAGGCCTTTGGCCTATTGTTGGTGGATCTGATCTATCCTCTCCCACCGTTTAGGAGCCGAATCTGACCCAGGGAGTTGTACGACTCCTTGTTCTTGACCTGTCCGGTACGCGAACCCGCCGGTTTATTTATTTATTTTTATTGTATTCAGTATGATATACATGTACATTGAACCAAGATCATAAAAGCTACCAAGAGCGTGCAACTCCTGATGCTCTGTCTATGGGGTATGCCGACAGCATAAACTCACATTACGTGGTGCAGTGTCGCAGTTGTACGTTTCCAGCCCGTTTTTTAGAGAGCAGCAGGGTAATAAAAAAAGCACTCCGTGACAGAAACTCCCTGCGCGTCTGCAAATCCGCGGCAGTATCATGGCAGATGTTCGGATTGCGTGCACGCTATCCTTCGTACGTACCTAGTACCAAGCGTACCTTAGACACGTGATTTGAGAGTTGCACACTCTTGGGAGGTTATACTTGCCGTGATCAGGTAAAACATGTCTTTGGGGTTTCGTAAAAAAAAAGATGAGAAATGACGGAATGAAAAAAATGTTTGTCGAGTGCGTTCACACTGAACTTTACTCCTAAACCAGTGGCGATTATCTTCTCAAATTTTGTTGAAATACTTGTTTGGCGGCCTAGTTCAAGTAACTGGTGAGCAAAGATTGACAATGTTCGCATCTAGTGACACTAGAGCAACTCGCAGGGCCAGACGATCGCTCTGCATAACGCAGGTTGGTCTGGTGTCAGCAAGTCCATGGCGGCGGGTCTGCAGAGCGACGCTGACCATTTTTTTAGATCTCAGTGATGTTGATGTCGACAGCGAAGCTGAATCACCCCCATTGTCCCTAGTGGCGAAAAGGCACAAGTAGCAGTTAATTGTGGGCGAGTACATTAGGCGACTAACAGCAGCTCTACTCTGAGCTAACAGCAGCTCTGCTTTGAGCTTCAAACCAGTTGTTTCTAAACCAGTACTCCTCAATCCAAAGATGCCTCTTTGTTGACTTGTTTGTGTGAGGGATGGGGCAAATAGTTTTTTTTACCAGTAAATCACCAATTGTACTTCTGACTACAGCATAGCTCAGTGGTTAGTGCATCGCTGGCTACAAGCGAGGGTCCCTAGTTCGAGTCCTGATGGTGACAGTCAATTGTTTTCCTCAGACTTTTCCCGTTTGTGTCTTTCCCTCAAACAAGTGAATTGTATTTCTAGAGGCTAACAGTCGTTGCTTTTTGCCCAGTGTTTCTACTGCAGGAGTGGAAGGAAAACGGAATGAAACCAAATCCTCAGTCAGCACGGCAAGTAAGAAGTCTAAACGTGTCCGTCATTCTCTATTCGCACATCTATAATCACTGTAATATCACAGCGTCCGGCCCGTGACACATCAAGATTCCCGTGACACATCAAGATTCATGCAGGAAGATCCACACAGTGATACGTCAAGATCCATGCAGTGATACATGTATGTCAAAATCCAATTTCCAAGCGGTGATACATCAAGATCTACGCAGTGATACGTCAAGATCCACGCAGTGATGCATGTACGTCAAGGTCCAATTCCAAGCAGTGATACGTCTAGATCCAGGCAATGATACATCGAGATCCAAGTTCCACGCAGTGATACGTCAAGATCCACGCAGCGATACATGTTCGTGAAGATCCAATCTCCAAGGAGTGATACATCAAGATCCATGCTGTGATACGTGTAGATCCACGCAGTGATTCATGTATGTCAAGATCCACACAGTGATACATCAATATCCAATTTCCAATTACCAAGCAGTAATATGTCAAGATCAACGGAGTGATACATAAAGATCCGCGCAGTGATGCATAAAGATCCACGCACCGGTGCGTCAAGATCCACGCAGTGATACGTGAAGCTCCACGGAGTGATACGTGAAGTTCCATGCAGTGATACGTCAAGATCCACGCAGTGATATGTGAAGCTCCACGGAGTGATATGTGAAGTTCCACTGAGTGATACGTGAAGTTCCACGCAGTGATACGACAAGATAAAGATCCAAGCTCTGATACGTCAAGATAAACACAGTGACATGTCGGGATCCACGCAGTGATACGTCAACATTCAAGCAGTGATACGTCAACATTCAAGCAGTGATACGTCAATATCCCCGGAGTGATGCATCAAGATTCCCGGAGTGATGCATCAAGATCCAAGCAGTGATACATCAAGATCTACGCAGTGATACGTCTAGATCCAAGTTGTGATACATGTACATCAAGGTCCAATTTCCAAGCAGTGATACGTCAAGATCCCCGCAGTGATACATCAATATCCGCGCAGTGATACGACAAGATGAAGATCTAAGCTTGGATATGTCAAGATAAGCAGTGATGTGTCAAGATCCAAGCAGTGATGCATCAACATCTACGCAGTGATACGTCAAGATCCACCCAGTGATACGTCAAAATCCATGCAGATCCGTAAATGTACGTCAAGATTCAATTTCCATGCAGTGACGCATCGAGATCGACACAGTGATACGTCAGGCTGCAATGATGGCGTCGTGATCACTGAGACGCTGAGATCCAACCAACAATGAGATTGCGTTAAAACAGTGACCTAGAATTATGACTGGTTTATTCGCTAGCGGAGTTCTACCTTTAAAATACACTAGGCAATGACAAGAGGTCTGTTGCTGTGAGCAGAGCGTACCAGTCTAAGTTTTTCATCGGATATGCAAAATGCTAATTAACACATCTGACAACTGATTGGGATCTATCAAATATTGCCATTGTGAAAATGAACTGACGGATTTATCTTATCAGATGTAATTCACGCCATTTACTATCGAACCCCTTTCATGTGCTCTGGATGGCAGTCGTGAGTCAGTCAAGTCAAGGCGACAGAAAGCGCAAGATCCGGTGTGGGGAGCGAACATCTTTCTATGCATGACATCATTGCCGAAGTTGCCACCACTAATTTGTAACATTTACTATCATCAATGCTAATGCTAAGTCAGGTATATACTATAGCGGACTAGAATTACTAGCCGAGGAATGAACAATGACAGTTATACCATGTCATGTAAGAAGGGCTACTACGTTCTCTAAAACTCTTGTTCCTTCAACTGCATATCTTGGTGACCAACATAAACAGATATCATTGGATGGGCCACATGGTCTATGTGCTCTATATGGTATTCGATAGGCCACGCTCTGTTCCCTGTGTGTGTGCGCACGATATTGTGTTTGTGTGGTGTGTATTTGTGTGTGTGTGTGTGTGTGTGTGTGTGTGTGTGTGTGTGTGTGTGTGTGTGTGTGTGTGTGTGTGTGTGTGTGTGTGTGTGTGTGTGTGTGTGTGTGTGTGTGCAAAATGCTACGTCTAACATAGCTGTTCACTATCATCGCTTCCGCGATGTGCATGTCTGAGGTGTGTGTGTGTGTGTGTGTGTGCGTTTGTGCTCGGACGATACATTTTGAGCATTCATCATCCCCGGTTGAGATTTCATCTCTAGCGTAGCTTTTTGCTGCAAACTGCAAATGGTTTCACACATAATTATTATCAACTCCCTTCCTGTGCTGTCTACTTGCCTCACTTACTGTATTCTCCCGATTATAAGTCGTGCTCCCACTTACAGGCTTGAGCCATAATTATTGTTTCAACACACACACACACACAAGTAAGCAGTAGTCACTCTGGATTGTAAGTCGCACCCCTTCTTTGCCTTTGAAGTTAAGTGGAAAACGATGTGACGTGTATTCGGGGAAGTGCGGTACTTAGAAAAGGGAGACATGATTGCTGCCGGACCGTGCCATGCAGGATGTCGCCTGTAAATCTCTATCCATCCACTTGAAGGACTTAGATTTGGAAAGGTGAATGTGACAACATGTGATCTGCCTGCCCTATTTGGCGGCTCAAGTAGAGTTCGGTTGGTTCAAGCACAGAAAATAATAATCAAACTAAAATTACATGTATAGAGGTGCGTGCGTGCACGACGCTCACATGTACAACCTGAAGAATTTGTACACTCGCATAGACACATGAGCACGGACGTGCACATTCCCATAAACACACGCGCACGAACACGCACTCGCGCACACACACACACACACACGCACACACACACACACACACACACACAAACACACACACACACACTCACACAATAATAATTGTGCCCGCATGCATACATACACAGTGATAATTATCCTGACCTTTTAAATGCTTCTCTTGCAACTTGGCGACAATAGTGTGTCCAGCATAACATGCGCAAAAAGCTATGTAGCACACACTCAAATATTCTATTGTTGCAGACATTGAAATCAGTTGAGATGTCAAGTGACCGTGGGGAGCAGCTGACCACGCAGGCATGAGCACAGCTGCAAGCGTGCTAACTCATTCTTACAGTGTGTGTATGTGTGTGGTGTGTATGTGTGTGGTGTGTATGTGTGTGTGTGTGTGTTCGTGGTGTGGTGTGTGTGTGGTGTGTGTGTGGTGTGTGTGTGTGTGTGTGTGTGTGTGTGTGTGTGGTGTGTGGAAGTAAGACCGCAGGGCCACGGTCCTTCCACCGGATTTCTACGTTCACAACAGCTAGCACATCAACACTGATTCTGTTCTGAAGAATGAGCAGCATCATCCTTGCCGGCAGCCATGTCATGCAGCTCGGAACTCTCGCCAGCCTGACGGTGCTTCTGCCGTGTAAGAGCAAGCGGCCTTAGCATGGCCGCACCTGGGGCGGTGTTGCGTCGCTTCTTGATGACGCGAGCGTAAATCCCAGCGCCGCTTACTTGGATTTCGCCGCCGTCCCCAGCCGGAGTGTTATCACCATCGGTGTCGTCGCCGTCGTGTTTGTTTTGGTTCCGGTTACGAGGCACGGCGTAGACATCGGAGCCGCACGCTGCCAATCCCTCATTCGCCCGGCGATCGGCTCTTTCATCGCTCGCCGCTCGCGCGGAGTTTTCCATCTCGCTGTCGGGCTGTGTCGCCTGCTGATGTTCTCCGTTCACAACAGCCGTCGTTTGAAAGTCCGACAAGGGTGCATACCCGGATGATATCGGCGATGTGGCCAGCATTGAGCTCGACGCACTCATGCCAGTAGTGCTCAACATGGAATCGCTTTGTGAGGTGGTGCGTTCCACATTCGTCGTCGACGCAGCCTTGCGATGGGTCTTCTTGTACACACTGTACGGGATGGGTTTAACTGCCGGGTTCACTCGTTTGGCTTGGCTGGTTGCCGAAATGCTGCGCATTGAGCGGCTGAAGCGACCCTGACGAGCAAACTTCTGAGATGATAGTTCGGGCGCAGTCACGGCTGATGTGGACCTTACCCGACCTGTGATGTTCTTTTCTGCACCGCCTGCTGCTGTTGCTGCTAAACCATCGGTTGAGGTTGGGTCTCCTGTGCGTGCCGATGCATCCACTGGACCACCGCCCCCAAGCGACGCCTTCAGAACTTCAAACGGTGTGCTGTACTCGTTCTCGGTCACCACTAGGTCAGGAACGGCATTCCGGCTGCCATCAGTTGCCAGGTCTGTGGGCCGCTTGGCCTGTGTGCCTGATTGTTCTGCGTCACCTCCGCGTGATTGCCCCGATGCAGGTGAAGCGGTTGATTCGCTGTTGGCTGCCACGCTCTCTGTGAAGTGCTCAATGGCGCGGTTCAGGACTTCAAATGGCGTGCTATACGGAGATTCGTCGTCGACGTAGTCATCATCGGTCGTCGCCACGGAGCTCAGCGGATTGTGATGGGCCGCTGCCATGGTAACGGGATGCGTGATGATGTCCACTGGTGTGTCGTCCTCGTCGTGTACCGTTGAGCTGAGAGTGGTAAGCAGTGATTCCTGCGGTGATATCGCACTGTCCTGCTTCATGCTCGTTGCGGAGTCCTGGTGAAGTACATCCGTCTGGACGGTGCTGGTAGATAGGATAGAAGTGCGAACGCCGATCGGATCAATGCTTTCTACGCGCTCAATATCGCCCATCAAACACGCGGTGCTATTGTTAGTGGTTGTGTCGCTCGTCATGCCGACTGAACTCTGAACGCTGCCGTTACCCGTCGGCTGTACGGCCATCGTCATGTCCTCCAGCACCACCCCGTCCTCGATCAGCTCCGTCCTACGGCGCGTCTCCCTCGCCACCGCACTCGTGCGCGTGTGCTCTCGCGACACCGAGTAGCCACGGGGACGCCGGCCGTGACCACGGGACTTTCCCCTGCCGCCGCGCACGTACCAGGCCAGCATTGCTACGCTCAGCTTGCCGTCGTGGAACTTCTTGCCCACTACGAGCACCGCGGCAACGAGGAGCAGCGCGAGAACGCAGCCAACTGAGATGAGCACTACGGTGTTCGTAGTGTCCACCAGCGGAGCGGAGCTGGGCAAGAAAGTGCCCGGCTGAGAGCAGGTCGTAACACTGCGCGCATACGCACGGAGATGGCAGCGGAGCAAGGCGGAGAGGTCGTCTGCCGTGATAGCAGTGCTTAGCTCGGCGTCGGTGCTACTGTTAGTGCGGACTTTGGCGGCGGGGGTGGTACTGGCGGTGGTGGGGCTGCTGGATGGTTTGATGCTGGAGTTACTATTGATGCTGGGTATGGACTTGGTATTGATACCGATACTGCTGGTTGAGTGGTGGCTAGTGTCACAGATGGCACTGTGGATATGGTTCGTGTTGTTGTTGATTGTGCTGCAATTGCTGCTGCTGTTGCTGCTGCTGTTGCTCGTGCTGCTATCACTGGGGATGGTTTCATTGCTGCTGCTATCATTGCTGCTGGTGTTGTTGCTGCTGTCGGCGACTGTGCACGCATCCAGGCATGCTATCTCCACACAGGCCGTGACCCAGTCTGGCATGACCATGCCGACTCTCTGCTCGAACTCGTCACGTGAAACGGAGCCCGTTGGACACACACAGCTACTGTTGCAGTCGTTTACCAGGGGTGGAGGGCATGGCGTGGAACAGGGCCCGTTCCCTGCAAGAATATTCAGCACAAATCAGAGAAAATGGCGTCAATGCGGCCTGTCTTTGCCCCCTTTATGGTGGATATGATCAAGAGTACAGTCAACTTCGCGTATACCGACACTCGGCGGGGCATCAGAAAAGTATCCTTATTCGCGTAGTGTCGTTATACCCGAAGTCCCATTATATGTATTACAGTTGGATGGGACTTTGCTCTGGGCATGGAAATTCTGTCGTTATCCGCGAATTGTCGTTATATCCGCAGTCGTTATTAGCGAAGTTGACTGACTGTACAGGAAACCCAGAGCCTGCAGCTTCTGACTCTGTCCGTAGGGGTGTGTCTGTCACGCAAAACTTCGGGATAACATCATACTTGGTGCAGACAAGCAGCAGGAAGTGGCGTAGAGCGTATAACTGAGGTGGAGTTGTGCAGCGGAGACTGCTTGAATCCTGCTTGTTCTCACTGAATCACTAGAATGATGTGGTCCCGGAATTGTGCCGTGACAGCAACCCATCGGAGCTGCATACTCTTGTTTCATGCACTCTTGATATGATCTACCTGCCTCCTGCTACACAAGCAGAACATACAATTTATTTTAGGATTTAGTTTGTGAATATTTTGTCCACTCCGAAGAAGGGACTTTCCTAAAATGAGCTGTCAAACTCCAATGCAGCACATTCCCAGCGTTCAACACCACCTCCATTCTACATCCCATGAACAGGCTCTCAACAGCACCGAATTACTGAAAACTGTTGCCTATCGGGTATCATCGGCGCATTGAATGCCCTGATGATGTCCAGCGGGCAAAACCTGTTCACGTATTTGAAGCAGCTGAGTGCCTTCTCATGAGACATAGAAGAGAGGTGCTAATTTATATATTTTGCTTTATGGCGGCCATTCTTCAGCATCATGGATGCACAGACACAAGCCGTCAGCACAGAACAGAAGACACCGTATACACAAGGCTAACACATGCACTGCTACTGTAGCGCCGGGACATTGACATCCGTTGAGAAGTCAATCGGGCACGGGACACTGGCCTTGCCGCCGTGAGCACTGCTGGTCCCGTTTTATGCACTGAGTATGTGAACTACAGTGTATGTAGGCGCTAATGCAGTACGGC